AGGAGCTAAAAATACTCATGCATAATTCAATAGGTGGGCTGTTGAATTGTGCTTGGCAAATTAAATCGCGTATAGCATTATTCCACGCTACTGAATTCGTCTGAGTCGAAATGATCATAATATACTGATATAAAGAGAAGGATTGCAACAAATATATTGGCCTACTTTTCATTTCTTCTCAAGAAACTTATAAGGCATTCGTAAATTGGCTTCACTGGAGGTCGAAAATGGCTTGCCTTGGAGTTAAAACTAGATTTTTACGGGTCGATTCGAGTCCCGCTTCGCTACCCCGATATATCCATTCTGTGCTTTCATTTATTATCTAACATCATGAGAGCAGACCAAAAATATTCACCTGGCCTTAAGGCAAGAAAGTTCGGTGAACCTTGATCTATTATGTTATTCTTATAAACCTGCATCTTAGGTATATTAGGATAAATACTTTTTTTAGTTAGTATATAGAATCCTTTTTATAGAAGTTGTCTTACCTTGTTTTCTCAACTTACTCATATTGGTTAGAAGACCTAGGGGAACCCACCTAGTATGCATGATAATTTCCAGAGTCGAACCGTGGACGTGGTACATTCCCAGACGTCGGTGAGCCTTTCCACTCTTAGCACGGCACTACAACGGGTCAGAGACAAGCAAAACCGATCCTATGGCCAATTGCCTGTGGAACAATTGTGGCATCTCTCCTTCTGTCATGGGCTATTCACCACTCCTATATCCTCTTATTATCCCTTTAGTATCACAATTTCTTATTTAAATGTTGCATGCTGTGCCCTTTTTGGCAGGCTTCATGATAATTCTCTAAACCCAACGCTGGCTTTCTCACCACCACTCCGCAATCCCCTTCCCATAGGTCTTATCAGAGTCTCCCTCTTGCCCCTTAGAATCCACCCCCTACCGTACTGGTTTATGTATTTAACTCGACCCATGCAACCCTATCTGTACTACTCGAAGCGTTATTTCTGACAGTCTTAAGCCTTTGATGGCATGCATACTTCCATCTCGTTAAGTAAGCTACTAAAAATCAGGATTGTCAAGCTGGATAAGAAACTAACTTGAGGCTAAAGAACCGGAGTAATTCTCATGGTCAAGCCTTTGCTTCATGGACCACGTCTATGATCAAACACGTTTACAGTTAGCCAACTACCTCTAATCTCCACCGCATCTATCGTGCTTCTAGCCGTAGTGTCTAGTCTATGACTTCTTATGTCCTATTCTATTGTAGGCCAACCCACAAATGTTGTGGTTCTACATTGACGTGGTCCATCAAGCAAAGGCTTGACCATGATAATTACTCGTTCTCTTTAACCTCAAGCTAGTCTCCCATCCAGCCTGAGAATCCTAATTTTTAGGGACCTACTTAGCGAGGCTGGAGTAGCCGTGTGATTAAAGGCTTGAGACAGCGTGGGAAATAACGCCTCAAGTAGCACATATAGGGCGGCAGGGGTCGAGTAAAATACTTGAACAAAGGAGATAGCAGACGGATCCTAGGGGGCAAGGGGGAGACTGATAAGATTATGGGAAGAGGGGTGAGGGTGTGAGAAAGCCAGCGTGGGGTTTGGAGAGTTCTCATTATAGCCGCTCAAAAGGGCACACCATATCACATTTAAATATGAAATTAAGAAATTTTGATATTAAAGTGTGATAAGAGGACATAGGATTACTGAATAGCCCAGGCCAGCAACAATTGTTTCGCAGCCAATTGGTCAAAGGATCGGCTTAACTTGTCTCTTTCACGACCTGTATTTGTGCTAAGATTGGCAAGGCTCACTGATGATGCCGGTATGACGTCTGAGAATGTACCACGTCCATTGTCCGACTGGAAATTATCATGCATACAATGGACTCCGGACTAGGTGCGTTTCTATAGGTCTCTAGGTTGCGTAAACAAGGTCAAACAACTTATATACTACGAAAGGAGACTGCAACGATACAAAAGGCCACACGATCTTGGTCTTCATACATTCAATCCTTTTTATAGTTTATTTAGCCTACATAACCCTTTAAAACAACTATCATGTTGAATACAGGTTTCAACTGTTTTAGCCGCACTTCATGATATACGGCCTTATCCTCATTTTGCAATGTCTTTAAATTGCAATTTAAAGTTGGTGCCCTCTGGAATCCCAGCATTTTATTATAGGAAGGGTAACTGTGCTTTGTTGAATCTCATGAGACACCATTTTCCTGCAGACCTCCATCTCATATGAAAGTACTTGATAAAGATATTTGTAGGTCAATTCTACCAGAAGGCGGGGACTGGTTTGCTTTCTTAATTCCACGAGGCACCTCCGATTTCGAGTTCAAACGCGCTAGATTTACTTTTTTCATATCACGGATTTCGTTAGAAGACTTCTGATTTGCAGGTTTTGAAATAATGACCTTCGGCGCTGAAGATGGGCGTCAGATGACACGCGAAAGCTCAGATTATTTTTATCCAAGTGGATATCTAATGGATGGCATCTCTCTGAACGTCATATCTAAGATAATCGGCTGTAGAACAACCGTAATCAACTGTCGTCTTTCGATAGAATCGACATAGGAATCGCTTCGTCATGTATTTTCTTACGAAATTTAAATTTCCACAGCCATCATGTTATGACGCAAAAAATTGCTCTTTTATTTGACCATTCTTGAAAAGCAACGGTCTCCTATCTTCATATTACTTTTATTAAAACACAATTTTTTTATAGTATATTATTTATGCTTTTGGTTTATATTTGTTGCATTATTCAGATAGTATACGCACTTTACTAAATATAAATAGTCTGTTTTTCTATTCGTTTTATTTATGTTAATTATAATTTTTAGTTTATATGTGTCCAACTTCACTATTTGCCATTTTTTTATAATAAATTATTTTCTATTTCGACATTATTTTTCATTAACTTTCCAAAGTTTTCTATCCTTCCTCAGCTTCTTTTTAACAATGCATAAGGATATTTACTTTTTGCAGTATATTTTCATATCAGTCAACTCTAGGGGTTTCCATGTTATTGCGTAACTTAAATACTTAATAATGCTGGTGTTTTCATACTTTTGGTCTTGGTGCCAGATGATAGAGATTGCATCCATGTTAATAGCCTATAAAAGTCTACATGGCATTTTGAATATAAAGTATAGGCAATTTTTTGTTTTTTATTTCCTTCTTCAGTTATTTGTCCCTCTCTTCTCCATAGCCTTTAATAATTTTACTCTGCTATCTATGCATGGAATTTTATCTAGTTTGTTTTAATATTTTAACAGATATTTTGGCCTCTTTACCTTTTAAAGTTTTTTTTCGAACTTATACGGGGACTGGCTAAATTTTCCTTAGACTATGCTTAGCCCATGATTTTCATTTTATCTAAATGAAGCTAGTCTTCACAACGTGAAGATTCTTTAATTATATTTCACCAATAAACTCACAAATTTTGATGGTGTCAGGTCTTCTAATAGCCCTTTATTTGTAGCATGTTATCCCCTACTGGATATTTTAGCCGTTTTGCTGCCACATAAATTCATCCATGCTTCTATTTTTGCTTTTACCGTGCACACGTGTCCAAATCCATTAACACACTACCTTGCACCAATTCTTACTTAATTTATTTCTTTATCTCTTTCTTTAATATGTTATGCATTAATTTTTATTCACACTGTTTTTCAACCCTTAACTTGTCAATATGCACACATCTTTTGAATTTTTGCCAATTTCAACTCAAAGTCTCCCTTCCTTAATCTCGCTTTTTTATCTTCGTTTTTTTCACTATTTCTTATTCAAATCTCTATCCTTGAGTCTCTTTTTCAAATCACTATCAGTCTTTATCGATATGCTGTTTTTTATACTTCTCAACCTTTTTTTCATTTGAAGCTGCGGCATGCATATGCTACAGGTTTATCTTCTGGAGTATCCACGTCTGAGGCCCTGTCCTGCTGCATTGACAATTACCGATTTACAGGTCTTTCTCGTCAACCAGCCATGCATGGGGCTGCACTGGTTCTTGCTGACTCAGGAAATTTTATTCATTTGTTCGACTTGCGCTGTCGGCGACCGACAGCAGCCGGCTACGCTATTGGCCAGCGTCTAGCTACCGGCGCCTCGCTTCTCCTTGGTCTCTCTGGAGATGGTGTTGATTCTAGGCTTGCCAGTTCTGCGGCTAGTCTTGATGCACATGACTTTAATACTGCTATCGGACTTCAACTTACTGATACTCAGTTGGGCTACTCCTCGCTTTTGGACCGTCTTTCTTTTGGGCGCCGCTTTAGCCTTCGACATGTTGGTAGTTCTAGCCACACTGTGGCATTCTCAGCATGCCCATTTACTCAGTCTTCGATGTTTCCTCTCTCCAATCTATATGCTTCCACTGATCTTCTTTCTCAAATAACTGGTCTCAATTCTGCTGCAGCAATTCCTCCCCCCATGGGCTCCACAACCGGCCTCCTTGGCAGCCTTCGCCACCTGGTTGTTCAGCCAGCGGGATGGCTTGTGATTGCCGGATTTACAGGCGGCCTGATTGCTGCAATGGACATCAGGACGGGCCAATTAATGCAAGTCTGGCGAGCTCATTCGGATCGTCTTTTAAAAGTGAGTTCGGTTCTATACTTTTATAAGAGGGAGCTAAATTGACTTAGTAGCGATTTATCAGCTTAAAGCCTATAGATTTTTATTTTTTCGCCAGAAAACTTTTTCTCATTAGTATATATGAAAACTAAGATGTGGTCTCTTTTTTGGCCGCAATAGAAGTGAGCTGACCTCGTTTTAACAATTTGATCATGTTATCAGAGAGACTCAGTAGGACGCACCTTGTACGAAGTGTGCCTTTTTGAGTAATTTTGTGTCGTCATCACACCTGCTGGTTACCTCGTCTCCCTTTCGATTTGCTGATCCAACGATTGCCTCTTATTCATGTCTATCTCATGGATCCGTAGGTCCGTGTCTTATCTTTTTGGTTGACCGATTTCACTCGGTTGTAGTCCCAGTGAACTTTTTAGTCCAGGCGCTATTTCTGAATCCCTTAGAAGCATGTACACCGTTGCCTCATTAAGTAGAGCGCCTAGGCTCTGTTTCCTAACATTCTACGGATTACCGAAAATCCAAAAGCATGGAGTAACACACAATAAGCTAAGTTCATATTTCAGAAGGTCAAGAAGGTAACCGAAAGGTTATCAAACACAATGAAGCATTTATATGAATTTTCGCGGCATAAAAAACATGGAACTGGAAAAAACAGAATTGTTCGTACGTTTTGACGTATAATCTATGCATACAAACATCTCTGGAGCCTCTGCTGGATATCTTGGACCAAGAATATGGTATCCTGAAAGGAGAGAGAATCAGGTGGGAGTCGTTAATACGACTAATCAGCTTGACAATAAGGACTACTTCACATTCAACAGCAACATCTATGACCAGGCATTTGGACTTCTGGGATCGCCACTCACCTTTATCAGCAAATAAATGCATGAACGACTCCACCGCTGCAGCTAAGAGTGCTTATACTCTATTTAGATTACTACTTCGCACTTTGGTCGCATGGAAGAGATATATTTGGAGGAAGCAAGTGCAGAAGTTTCGAAAATCAGGCGAACACGTTCTCAGTTTGTGTGGTCTGCTCAAGGAAACGACTACAACTTTGAGTGACTGACAGTCACGTGGTCAGGGAGCTAGATAATCATAAACTTCACGAAATTCAGCATTATGGCTAAAATGTACTATAAATACGCTTAAGATGTAGCAGGCCACCAGGGATAGACTTCTATAGTTTGCTCGGGTTACATGGAAATAATCAAGGAGAAGACTTGTGGAGGCAATTCCTAATATTTGCAAGAATTGTAAACAGTGCTTGGGTTCTCTGCTCGACGAGACGACAATGTAGGGACCAGATTTATGGGCCAAAACAGAACAAATTATTGATAGCGCAACCATTTGGGTAGAACGTTGGTCAAGGGATTGACTTCACTTATTTCCTTCGACGAGTTGCAGCTTGGTGAGAGAATGGCAATACTCGATAACGATGCTGATTACAATGCCGGTGAAACGTCTGTGCATGTCAGACGCTGAAAATTCTGATCACTACTCTAACAAAGAATTTCACGCAAGGTAGTCCAAATAAGTCGCCCTGATGACACGGCAGAATCGCGTGAACAAGGTCAGCCCACTTCTATACACTAAAAGAAGACTGCGATCATGCCAAAATCCACAACAGCTTGGTCTTCATTTCTTTGGTCATACATTTTATTGTTCTTAGTCTTTTCATCATTGTGGTCTTGTTTTATATTTTTAAACGAATCCTTTATTATTATTCAACTCCATGTTGAACGAGTTATACCTCTACGTGTTCTGAGAACTAATGGATAAGTAAAAGTCCGAAGAATATGATACGATCAGCTTTACAAAACTCTCCGTCTATACATCTGTTGGTAGTGATAATGAGAGGACAGGGAGCTATTAGGGAGCTAGAGCGAGGCGACGAAAAATGCTTTCTAGAATTTCGGACGCTAAAGAATACATCGCTGCGGAGGCTAATTTTGAATAGGTGGATTTGGTCCTAAGTCGGGCTTCTGGTAAATTCGCATTACTTCTGCAGAACAATCATCCTGTAGCCGCAGACACAAACTAAAAGTTCGTTTGGAAACTTTGCTTCGGACCTAGAATCTTATCGATCGAGGTCCTCCCTATGTAGAGGTCCGACCAACTTGTATTATTGCAGATACATAAGGTGAACGAGCAGCATCTGATAATACGGCATATATTAGCAGAGGCATGTGTGGATGCACATATTAACATCCAAGAGGATAACTATTTGGCCGGCGATTAGGCGCTGTCACAGTGAGAGGCTCCAGGTCGTAGATGAGACAAACGTAGAGATTGTCACGTTAAGGGGGGTAGGGATCTAAATGATTCACTAATTCCAGATTCCCTGTTGTTTAAGATTTGAACGTGATTTAAGTGTCCGTTTCTGATTTATTCCAAAGTTCCCGATATGATAGGCTTTCGGGTAGGCTCGATGCTGTGGAAATTTTTTATCATTCAACATCAACAGAGAAGGCGAATGCCATATTCACAAGAGATCTTTGTGTAAAATAAATGTTGGGCGATAACTGCTTGCGTGACGTAGCAAAACAAATCGCGATGTGGTATTCATCTAAATTGTTTAGCAGACAATTGGTCAAAAGATCGTCTTCACTTATCTCCTTGACGAGTTGTAGTGTGGTGCTAAGATTGGCAAGGCTCACTGACGATGCCGGTGAAACGTCTTGGAATGTACCACATCCATGGTCCGACTCTGGAAAGTATCATGCATACTATGGACTCCGGACTAGGTGCGTCCCTCCAGGTCTTCCTAACAAAATGACCAAGTTGCGAGAACAAGGTCTAGCAACTTCTATACAACGAAAGGAGTCTGTGACCACACAAAAGGCCACACCATCTTGACCTTAATACCTTGATTAAAAAGAAATTCATTTCACTAATATCTTCTTTATTATTTTCTTAGATGACACCTTTTAATACGGACTGGTTGGTAACTGCCTCCCAAGATCGCAGCGTGGCTTTTTGGCGTACCTCTTTACCTGGATTGTATGGGCTTTACTTACGAGATCACGTTTCATTTCCTTATGTCTATCAAGCTACGGACAATTCCAATTTATTCCCGCAGAATGACTTAACTTCAGGACTATCTGATACTTTTCTTTCATCTCTTGATATGACTGAAAAGGTTGGCTTCATTTATTCTTATTATTTTTTGCCCTTTTTTTATCTTATATGAATTGTGTTTCTTTTAATAAAATTATTTCTCTTGCTCTCGGGGAGCCGAGTTTTGGGCTGATGAATGGTCTCTGTGCAAAGTGTTAAAGTCGGCGGGTGAAGGCCCTTTTCATAACATGGTGTATTCAGTCTCGAGCTTAGGGGTAAATAAGAGGTCAACTAAAGATGCAAACTGAAGGGACAAATTCCGCTTGTCTTTATGGGGTTAAATCTTTGTAGTGAGAAAGAGGAGGCGAGATATTGAAATATCTTTTATGATTCTAGGACTCATGCTAGACGATAGGATATTATTTATTCTCTTTGCGTCATCTGTCTTTCGATAATTTATCATTCTGGTACCACATAATCAGCTATGCGATACATGTGGATACATGAATACACTAATAAATTTTTCACTGTATCGATGAATTTCTGCACTTTTCGTTGAATTACATGTATTGTGGATAAGTTCGACCTATATATTTTTCTTTAACCCTGATGACGGGCTATTTAGTGTATTTAGCAACTACTAGTCATGTTATAATGAGCTATAGCGAGTAGAGCTTTAATAAAAATAATAACATCTATAGTTAAGCGCTAAAAAACTTTAGTTTCTTTGAAATTTCTAGGAAATATTATTATTGTCCGTACTAATGAAATAGTAGAGAATTTGGTATCCTATACAAGTCATCTTTGTTTTTATAGACGTTTTAGCAATATCGTAACTGTTTCCGTAAACATTCATTTTCCATTGCGTCACTTGTTAAATATTTTGCTTTATTTGCTTCTTAAAATTTTTAGTTCCTACTCTAACCTATTTCTTCTCTTCTTCCTTAGTCCTGCCTTGTTGGTCTCCATCCGATCTGTTTGACAACAAGCGGCGAGGAGCTCCTCATAGGTGGAAATGCCGTACCGCCCACCTTGACTCTTAACAATTTTACGAGTGGCTCATCTGCAAATTCTGCGAGTAGTGAACTTTCCCTTAGTTACTCCACTACTGCGCAGACGCCAGTTGCTTCGACTGCTCCTCCCTCTGGATCCTCAATATTTCAGACTTCAGACGCTTGTGCTGTCAACGCAGTGACTTTGGCCAGTGGCCAGGAGGTCCGTCTGTCCGTCTTATACTTGCCTCCTAGCCATGCTTGAAGATGTTTCACTTTCACTTATTAAATTTATATGCAAGATTGACCACTAGTTTGTTCCATTTTTATATTTAGTATAGGTTTTCGGAATACTATCTCTACTGTACCAGTTTTATAGTATAAATTTGATTTCTTTTAGTCCCGTCCCTGACTGTTTTATATTTATGCTAAACTTTACTGAG